AGATAACACACGAGCTCAGTCTAAACAGTTCTCGGTTCTATAGTGATTCGAGAACCGCTGTGCCTGTGCGTTCGGTATCGCAGTATCAGCTGCTCGTGCTGATCACTTCTCTCAACAGTGGCAGCAACATGTCTCGGTTCAGTGAACTGTTGGAGTTACTGGAGTAAAATATAATTCAGGATATTGATTTATTTCGATTCGGAGGCGACTGTCAGGCATGTCTGAAAGTGAGTAACTTTAGTAACTTGTGGATCAGCACTGACGCAAGACGCCAGAACGATTCAGTTCGAGTGTACTGGTTCGACCGGTTCACTAAAAAGAACCGGTTCAAAAGAACGATTCGTTCACGAACCGGCCGTGTCTACGATGATCACTACAGTCTGCAGAGAGATGGAGGCGGCAAGAGAAAAGGTGAAGACTGGGGAGTGGAAGCTCCGCAAACACACAAATAGAAAGAGTAAAAGTGTGGGAGACATTTGCTGAAATAATGAAAGATGATGACCAAAGTGCTGGCTTTGCCTTTGTTATGTGTAGGCCTACGTCTTCTTGCGATGCTGTGTTGTTACACGTCTATATGGCCCAATAACGCTCCGATGAGCATTTACTACTTTAAAAAAATGCGGTCAGGAAGCGGGTCGGGTACAATGTTTTTTTTTTTTGCGGTCCGAGTTGCGGGCGGGTAGTTGAAAACGTCGGTCGGTTGCGGGTTGTTTATACATTGACCCGCGCATCACTGACACACACACACACACTGTAGGGAATATGCCAGCATTCATACTTTATCCTTCAAGCGCTTCAGGCCGATAATACAAGGCCTATTTACACCTAAGATTTTTGAGCTTGATTTTGAATGCAAGGTCCAAAAATATCGAAACATATATTATTTTAGTATTTATATTAGTATGTTTCATGATTATAATTAACAAAACGTTTTTCTCTTAAACGCAGTGGACAAAATCTTGCATTCCCATCATTTGCTTAAAACTAAAACACACACATGTACAATATAACACACATACATAATGTCAATATGATTTTTGATATATATATGTATGTGTATATATATATATATATATATATATATATATAGGGCTGTCAAACGATTAATCACGATTAATCGGATCCAAAATAAAAGTTTGTGTTTACATAATATATGTGGGTGCACTGTATAATTATTATGTATATAAATACACAAACGTGCTTGTATATATTTAAGAAATATATTTTCATTTATATATTGTATATAGATTTATATATAATTTATATTATATATAAATATAAATATTTTACATATAAATCATATTTTTTTCTTAAATATACATGCATGATATATATATATATATATATATATATATATATATACAAAATAATTACACACGGTGCACCCACATATATTATGTAAACAAACTTTTATTTTACATGTGATTTATCCCTTTAACATATATATATCCAAAATAAAAGTTTATGTTTACATAATATATGTAGGTGCACCATGTGTGTGTATATATATATATATATATATACACATACATTTTATTTATAATGCACTTTTCTAAAACCCAAAGTGCTACAAACAATAAAAACAAGTAAAAATACAAGTACAAAAGTAATACAAAAATACTCATTACAGTACACATCATTAAAATACTAATCATAAGTCAGTATAAGCAATTTTAAAAAGATGTGTTTTTAACAACTTCTTAAAACTGGCCAATGTGTTAGCAGCTCTAACAGAGGATGTGCATATATATATTAAAAAGCAATTTATTTCAGTAATGTCAAAGCTGAACTTTCAACACACACACACACACACACACACACACACACATTCTAGTTTGGTGCTAGATTCAAGTGCAACCAACTTGATATTATAAATTAAATCTTCCAGTCATTGCAAGCAAAGGAAATTGCCAAGGTAGAGAAATAAACGCTAGTGTTATTTTGGTTCTCTAAGGGAAAGAGAGTAATGAAATGTCATTAGTTTTGTGGAGGTGTTGTATACTTCAGTTACGAAGAGATCACTGAAGACACTGGGGCTATAGAGAAAGAGAGGTGTGTGTGCGCGTGTTCCTGTGAATGTTTACAACTGTGGCAGCAATCCACAGGCAGCAAGCCAAGACAATGCCATAGCATGAAGTGAGTGTGATTGTGCGAGTGTGTGTTGATGTGTTAATGTGTTCGCGTGGTCCCTGCAGTCCACTGAAGGGAAGAGTTTTATATTTTCTTGCTCAGTGACGGACTCTGCTTTGAACTGGAGCACAAAAGAACACTTCGGCGCGGCCACAAAGAGCGCCGCTACACAATCTAAAACCAATTTTACTATTTGAATAAGCTAACGCACGTTCTCTCTTATCTTCTTTTTGCAGTCCAAAAAAATCCAAGCCCAACTGAAAGAGCTGCGGTATGGCAAAAAGGATTTAATTTTTAAGGTAAGAACCAAACAAAGAGGATGTGTCATTACTGTACCCTTGCATGATGCGCAGGGGCGTTAGAGATGATTTTACCCACAGGTCTGAAGTTTAACGCTATTGTGTGTTGTCTTGTTAATGTAACCATTCATAAGATATTTATGTCCGGCTGCTTCATCAGATGTACCGCGTGTAATCTCTTGATGAGCAGTGTCCACGTGTTTACTGTACTACTGAAAGAGGAATTTTCAGCTTGACCTTAGATGAAATATCTACCGTTCCAAAGTTTGGGGTCAGGAAGATTTTTTTTATGATTTTGAAAGTCGTCTAAGGCTGCATTTATTTGATCCAAAATTCAATAAAAAGAGTAATGTTTCTATTTTAAAGGTGCAGTATGTAAGAATGACAACTAGTGGTCGGAATAGGTACTGCAGTCACTTCAAAATTTCGGAGATCGTCGTTTCTGGACGTTTTCTTCCACTCACGCGGGTTGCCAGTTTGAGCACACGCAACAGGAACGAGCGCAATGAACAATGAAAATTGCGTGCAATATCACAGACCAAAACAATAACAAACATTCCAGCCTGAAAACGCACATTTCAAAGTTAAATAACTGGCGGTAGAAGTGTTTTTCAGAGAAAAGATTATGTGAACTTGGCATGTTTTCTCAATATATGTGATGCGAAATTAAATTTTCAGCCTCATTATCCAGTCTTCAGTGTCACATGATATTTATTTATTTATTTATTTGGAAACCATGACCTTTTTTTTAGGATTTTTAGATGAATACAAAGGTCAAAAGAACATTTATTTAAAATGGAAATCCTTTGAAAAAAAAAAATACTGTATAGGCCAATGCTCTTACAGTGACTTCTTGCTGAATGAAAGTGCTAATTTAAAAAAAAAAGGAAAGGAAATCGTACTGACCCCAAACTTTTGAACAGTAGTGTATATATTTTAACCAAAGCAAAAAAGAGAAATAAAGTCAAATACATTTGCTATAAGTTCAACTTTTGGTTACAGAAGCATTTGAGCTTCCACAAATGATGCGAAAGCCAGAAATCCTCTTATTCGAATTCGGTGTATTTAACCTCTTTTAACCATTCTGACTTTTGAAAGTGCAAACAAAGCAATGTGAATGTCACCGTCAAAAAAATAAAATAAATAAATACAAATTTGGGGCAAAATAAAACAGATTAGGGGTAATATGTGCACACCTAGTTGAATGGTTTGACCTTTTTATGTGAGATGCGAGTGAAGTTTCATGGAAAAAAAACAACGACCTTTCCTGTCATGTCGGTTGACCTTTCCTCTCTTATTTG